CCCTGCTTGTGGATGGGTGCCAGGACAATAATCTCTGCAGTTCAGGGCCTAAACTTTTTTGGACCGAATCTTTCGACTTGTTACAGTTTCTTCTGCTCTTCCTCCACTCCCTGAGCTCATAACATCCTTTGTCTGACAGCGGAATGTGTGATGTTTGTTGCCATCGCAAACCCGATCTGTCCTTTCCGATCCTGTATTTCTAATCTGGTTGTTCAGAGTGACCTCGCTGAACAGTTTAGTAAGTTTTAAAGCATGGAAATACGAGCTGAGATTTTCGCTTTTCTTCTGTGAAATGTGGGACCCAAGGCTGGCCCTGTAGTTCTTGACCGTTCCTTAGTTGCCCCTGAAGGAGGCTGTAGTGAGCTGCCATATTGGAATTCCGCACGCCCTGGTCTACTAGTCCCCGGAGCTGTGAGGGAGGGGTCTCTTGATCCAGCAGGCCTTGTGAGGTCCCCGCGCCCCAAGACCCAGCCCCCCACTGGATCTGAAGGGATCGTCCCACTCTGAGAGATATTGGCGGAGAATGGGCCCACGCTCCCTGGAGTTTGTAAGAACGGGAGGGGTCTGCACCTCATTCTGTCGGGGTGTGGGGTGGTGGTTAACGCCAAGAGTCTGCTCCCCTCCCCTCCCCACGGCCTGGGGAGTCCAGAAGTGCAGGAGGTGTGCAGAGGCGCCAGGCTCAGAGGGGCGGCCATTTTGGGACAAGGCCAAGGAGAAATGTCATCATTCAGAGGGGTGCGAAACTTTAGAATTCCTTGCCAGCCCAAAGAGCTGCAGATGCTGAGTCGCTGAGATTGAGATCGAGGGATTGACGGACACTGAGGGCAAGTGGAGATGAGGTCAAAGATCGGGCATGATAGGATTACATGGTGGGAGGGAGACTGAAGGGGCCGAAAGGCCTCATCCTACTTCTTTTACCACCCTACACAGGGTCACAATGCCAATGGGGCCTGTGATTGGCCAATCATCCAAACTCACCCCAGCTCTTCATCCAAAACCTTTTCTCACAACACAAACCGAATCTGAGATCCCATCACTTGTCCATTTCGGATTTGTGTGTGTGTGTGTGTGTGTGTGTGTGTGTGTGTGTGTGTGAGAGATAGAGAGTGTGTGTGTGTGTGTGTGTGTGTGAGTGTGTGAGAGAGAGAGTGTGTATGAGTTTGTGTATGTGTGTGTGTGAGTTTGTGTATGTGTGTGAGTGTGTGTGTGTGAGTTTGTGTATGTGTGTGTGTGTGTATGAGAGAGTGTGCGTGTGTATGAGAGTTTGTGTATGTGTGCGTGAGTGTGTGTGCGTATGTGAGTGTGTGTGTGAGTGTGTGTGTTTGTGTATGTGTGTGTGTATGTGAGTGTGTGTGTGTGTGTTTGTATTTGTGTGAGTGTGTGTGTGTGTATGAGTTTGTGTGTGTTTGTACGTGTGTGAGAGAGAGAGTGTGTGTGTGTGTTCGTATATGTGTGAGTGTATGTGTGTATGTGAGTTTGTGCGTGTGTGTGTGTTCGTATGTGTGAGTGTGTGTGTGTATATGAGTTTGTGTGTGTGTGTCTGTGTGAGTGTGTGTATGTGTGTGTATGTGAGTTTGTGTGTATGTGTGTCTGTGTGAGTGTATGCGTGTGTGAGTGTGTGTTTGTGTGTGTGTGAGAGTGTGTGTGTGTGCCTCTGTGTGAGTGTGTGTGTGTGTG